GCACCCCGCACACACAAGTTCACGTTTAAACTTCCTACTCCCATGAAGGGACTACCTAATAACGAGTTATTCCCACCATAAGGGAAAAACAGAAAAACATTTCCCACAAAGGGATCCTAAATATTGAATTATTCCCACTCTGAGGGAAAAATAAAAAAAACATTTGAACCAAAATTAAGCAAACAGCAAAACTTCTAACCTCTAAGCTTGCTTGCTCTCCAGCCAGCAGCAATGAGGTCTACCTGCCAATTCTTTGTAATTCAGATGCTGCCGCTCTGCACCGGCGGGAAGAAAAAACTCAAGAGTTTTCAGCTATCCTGAAAACTCTACAACTGGAAAAAGTCTTTACATTTTCCATTACCATAGGAAGAGGCTTCTCTCTTTCCTTCATCTTTCCTCTACAGGGCCCAAATCTTTAGGCCTAGTTTTAAAAATTTTTCCCCTTTTTATCGGGAAAATCCTTTTTTCTTGATTAAAACTTTCCCCCCATTTTTAATGGGAAATTTCCTTTCCTTCCCTCTTCTCTATTGGGAAGATTTTCTTTTTCATTTAAAATCTTTAGCTGTCTTGCCCTTACTTAACTTTGGTGCCTTCCTGCTTCAACAGTCCAATTAACTGACTGTGAGCTACCTGTACCCATTTCAATCCACTCTTACCTTAAAAATGCCGGCCGGCCTTCCAAGAGTGTCTGTCAGCTGGTCCTTCTTTCTCAGATCTCAGTGGGACCTCCATTTGTAGCGGTAATGCCCGCATTACCGATAACCGTTCACCATGTCTGAGCGAAGGGCTGCGGATTGAAAAATAGAGACAAGAGACAGAGGGTCATCCGTACGATTGGATGTCGAATGTCGTTTATTGAAAGAGGGAAGAAACCTTAAATGCATACAGGCTTACAGCACAAATGGAGGAACCCCCGGAGGACAGAAGTTCGCTGTCAATGGTCTACATTCCAGACCCAATGTTCTACATTCTTGCATCTAAGTAGTTAACACCCAAAATGCAGGATACACAACAAGGAACTTCCCTTAAGCATTCAGAAGGGTGGATACCAGCAGGGAATCTGAATAGGGAGGACACAAGGAACTTCCCTTAAGCATTCAGAAGGGTGGATACCGTCAGGGAATCTGAATAGGGAGGACATCTGATCAAGGTCAAGCAAGCAAGGCCGCAGCCACTCCCAGTCAGGGGCCAGGGCCCATGGCGCCCACAAGGGGGAACTGAGCTTGGTATGTAAAATGAAAAAAATAAAATAACATTAAAAAAATAATCTGGAACTTCTGCTCATTGAGACATGATAACTACTGGCTGTAGCTGCTGACAACTTGCCACAAAGGCTGAATAGAGAAAACCATCTCTTTTGTTTTTTTGACTTGTAAAACTTTTTTTATTTATTTTATTTTACAATACTATTTAGTTCTACATAACAGCCACAGATTCCCTTGTTCTCCCCCTTCCTGCCCCCTCTCCTTCCTCCCAGCCCACGCCCCATTCCCACCAAATCCAGATCAAGGCCACCCCCGAGGACTGAGATCAACCTGATAGACTCAGTCTAGGCAGGTCCAGTCCCCTCCTCCCAGATTGAGCCAAGCGTCCCTGTATAAGTCCCAGGTTTTAAACAGCTATCTCATGCAGCCAGACCAGGACCTGGTACCACTGCCTAGATGCCTCCCAAACAGATCAAGTCAATCAACTGTCTCACCTATTCAGAGGGCCTGATCCAGTTGGGGGCCCCTAAGCCTTTGGTTCATAGTTCATGTGTTTCCATTCATTTGGCTATTTGTCCCTGTGCTTTATCCAACCTTGGTTTCAACAATTCTCGCTCATATAAACCATCCTCTATCTCACTAATTAGACTCCCAGTGCTCCACCCGGTGCCTAGCAATGGATGTTTGCATTTAGATTCCTCAGTACTTGGATGGGATTTCAGGCACAACTATTAGGTTGTTTGGCCATCCTATCACCAGAGTAGGTCAGTCCAGGTTGTCTCTCTGCAATGCCAGCAGTCTTTTGTGGGGGTATCTTTGTGGATTTCTGTGGGCCTCTTTAGCACTTTGTTTCTT